TTTTTATATTTTATTTTGTATATAGTATGTATAACCAATATTTTTTTTCTTTTCTTTTCTTTAATGACCTATCATTATCTTAATTTGTTATGTTTGTTTTTATCTGGCCAGATGTAAAATTTTAATTTCTGTACTTTTTTGTTATTCTGAAGGGACTTCGTCCCAGAATAAAATTATTTTTCTATTCTATTCTATTCTATGAAACATTTTTTTCTGGCTGAAGCCCCTCCCCCCACAAAATAAATCCTGAATCCGCTAGTACGTATAACTATAATAAGTAAGAAATAAATGCTTGAAAGAAATTTTTGTTTTCCTTTTTTTTTTAAATGTCTTTGTTTATCTAATCATACAGCCTCTGAGCCCCAATGCGTCGCATCGGTTGAATTGACACCAATCAGGAGGGATAAGCTAGATTTTGCCTTCATTTAATATCAGTATTTTAGATTATTTATTTCGAAATTAAAAGAATTAGATATAATTAGCTCGTGTTATTAACTGAATTAAGGCCAAAAGAACGAAAAAGCTAAAACTAAAACCCCGTTAATAGTTATTAATTACATTTTAGTAGATGAGATTAAATACAAAAAAAAAAAATGAATTGTCTATCATAAAAAGGGATGGACCATAAACATTCTTCACACCAATTATTTTTTTTCATTTGGGTTTATATTTTAGATATCGGCCAATTATCGGTATCGGCTGATATTAAACGCCAATATTTTTTTTTGTCATCCTGTTGATTCAATATATGGGACTTACACCTTACATTTTTTTTTTTGCTAAGATTCTAAGAATTTCACTTTCAATAGTATTTTTATCGCTAATAAATATATCGAAGGTTGTGTTCTCAACTCGTCTCTCAGATTTTGCCTGTTTTTCAGCGGAATCTGTCTGAATACTCACTGAATATAGTATAGAATAAGATAAATATGTGGTCGATCATATTGTGGTAGACTGTGGTCGATCATACCGAGCAGCGATGGAAAGCAGGCAATATTGCTCGGGTGCATATCTGTACATACATCAAGCTTTTGACCGTGTATGGAACTCCGGGCTTTTTTCCAAGCTGAAAATCCACCTACCCCAGTCCTTTTACCTAATCCTCTGATCTGATCTGATCTGATACCCCTCTGATTGCACCTTTGAAGTCCGCTGTAGTACAGAATTTTCCAACTACTACCCAATTGAAGCCGGTGTTCCTCACGGTAACGTCTTGGGCACCATATGGGTCCCTTATATCCTTTTTACCGCTGATATCTCTGTCCATCCCGATAACTTCTTGAAAATATTTGCTGATGACACAGACATTCTATCATCCAACTCAGAACCCGAAATAGCATCATTAAATCTGCAGAGACACCTCTCCCTGATTGAGCACAGATGTAATAAATGGCGCATCAAAGTAAACGAATCCAAATCCAAACATATTACCTTCAAACTCCGGCTCAGACTGTGTTCACCAGTCCACTTTAATTCCACCCAGCTTCCTTTTTCAGACACATTTCGGTATCTTGGCTTTCTCTTAGACAGAATATTAACTTGGAATCCACATACTAGACTTAAAAGACAAGAACTTAACAGACGATACGGCCAATTACACAGACTACTGACTAGAAAATGTCAACTTTCAATTGACAACAAATTACTCATCTACAAGACAATCTTGAAACCTATTTGGACCTACGGACTTGGACTTTAGGGGACAGATAATTTTTCCAACATCAAAAGGATACAATCCTTTCAGTCCCAAGTCCTCCGAACTACAGTCGATGCTCCGTTTTATGTAACCAACTAAACCCTACATCATGACCTTAATATTCCATTTGTCCTAGACCTTATCCCTGATACATTTTCTAAATTTCAACAAAACCTTACAAATCATCCAAATTCCCTTGCACAATCCCTATCTAGTTCCACTCATCCCTACATTCCTCGTCGAAGGTTGAAGCGGCAGTGGCCTCGAGATCTTTTGTAGTATATATCTTGGAGTTCTGGCAATGGCCAAATTCTCCATTCAAGACATGAGTGTATTTGGCTAAAGTTCTCTCGCTCAATCCCCACCGGCTTTAGCACCAGTGACGCGGTTGAGAGAGTAGCGCAGGAATCTGTGAGTCCTTCTTTTCCCTCTATAATTGGAGGTACAAGTCTGGCTTGGTATTCCCTGTCTTAGTGTATATATTGTGTATAGGTATGACTGAGTTTTTAATTTACTTATCTTTAGGCTATTTTATTTTTTATTGTACATATTTTTTTTATTATTATTAAGTTATTATTTTACTTGTTAATTTTATGTTTCCTGCATATATGGTGTGAATGTGTGCATATCACACTATAATTATTGTCCACGTGACAGATTATTATATTTCTAAATAAATAAATTAAAAAATAAAAATAAATGTATCATTCGTCAAGGGATCAACGTAAATTTGAGCAAAGACCGATATATCGGCCTTATAATACGATTTTATAGAGATGTGATAGAAGTTGACAAATTTTTATTTATTTTGTCTGTCACTCCTCTTCTCCTAATTTGAGCAGATAATCCAAAGACCAATATATGGGCCTTACGACCTTATTTTATCGAGATTCTAAGAATTGTACTTTGAATATTATTTTTATTGGTAATAAATGTGTCAACCATTCGGCAAGGGATCAACATAAACATATATTTGAGCAAAGACCCATACATCGGCTTTAGGATCTTATTTTATTGAGATGCGGTAGAGGTTGACAAATTTGTATTTAATTTTTTTTTCTGTATCTTCCTTTCTCCTAATTTGGACAGATAATGATATTCCAAAGACCAATATATGGCTCTTACCACCTTATTTTATCGAGATTCTAATAACTTCACTTTGAATATATTTTTTTATTGCCAATTATATATTTCTATTTTTTTTTTTTTTTGAGGAGGCCCAGTCTCGGTAACGGGATGTTGTGCCACACATGATGATGATGATGATATATTTCTATTTATTTATTGAATATTACAACGATCTGTCACATGGACATTAGTTATAGTGAGGTAGGATAACATTCACACTGTATGTACAAAAAATATAAAATAAATAGAAGCAAAATAACAATAAATAATAATCAAATATATATACAATAAAAAAAATAAAATAACCTAAAAAAAAGATAATTAAAGCTAAGCAAAAAAACACATGCACAACTATATTTTTATGATTAAAACACTTTATTCAGAAATATTACAATTTGTCACAGTTAAGGACACTTATAATAGAGTTCAGAGATTGCATTCATACCGTATATACAAAAATATAAATAAATAAAGTAATAACAAAAGAATAAGAAGAAAGAACAAAAGAGTAAAGAAAAAAAAAATATATATATATACACATAAGTAAATAAAAATAGAAATAAAAGTAAAACAAACACTTTATATAAAACATACATTATTTACAATTTGCCAGGTGATCTCTGAACCAATCCTGTCCCCTCCACATGTGGAGGGAAAAGGGAGGCTTAGGAGATCACTACGCTTCTCCCTCAGCCACTTCACTGGTATTTTAAACCAGCGGAGGATGAGTAAGAGCGCTACAGCCACAGACACTCATGACTTGAGTGGAGAATCTGGCCATTGCTAGAACTCCAAAATGTCCATATTTACAAAAGGTCTCGTGGCCACTGCCGCTTTAAACTACGAAGGAGATTGTAGGGATGGGTGGTGCTTGATAGGGATTGTACAACGGGATTTGGGTGATGAGAAAGGTTCTGGTAAAATTTGGAAAATTTGGCTGGGATAAGATCAAGAATAAATGGGATATTAAGGTCATGGTGTAGGGTTTTATTGGTTACATAGAAGGGAGCATTGACTATTGTACGGAGGACTTAAGATTGAAAGGATTGAATGCGTTTGATGTTAGAAAATTTGGCTGTTGCCTTTGTAAGTTTGCGGACGCTGTTTCAAGATCTGAGTTGGAAGAAAGGATAGCAGTGTCATCAGCGAAAGTTGCCAGGAGGGTATCGGGATGGACAGGAATATCTGCGGTAAAGAGAATGTAAAGGATGGGGCCCAAGACGCTGCCTTGAGGAACGCCAGCCTCAATTGAGTAACAGTCGGAGAATTTGGTGCCACAGCGAACTCGGAAGGAGCGGTCGGAAAGATAGGATCGGAGTACTAGGTATAAGGACTGTGGTAGATGGATTTTAAGCTTGAAGAGTAATCCGGCGTGCCATACCAGGTCAAAAGCTTGCGCTATGTCCAGAAATCCACCTGAGCAATACTGCTTGCTTTCTAGGGTTGAGGATATATGGTCAACAACTCGGAGTCCTTGCTGGACAGTGGAATGTTGGGAACGAAATCCGAATTGATGAGTAGGAAGGTTATAGGATTCAATTATAGGTAGGATTCGTTTCAGTAGGATCTTTTCAAAAATTTTTGAGAGGATTGGGAGTAGGCTAATTGGTCTATAGGATGCTGTATTGTTGGAAGGTTTGCCTGGTTTCAAGAAGAGGACAATGGTGGAATGTTTCCATAAAAGAGGGAAGTGGGTAGTTCGTAGGATGCAATTGTATATATATGTAAGAAATATGATGGCTTTAGATGGAAGTTGTCGAAGGATCTGTGGGGTTAGAAGGTCATATCCAGGAGATTTGCGAGGAGTGATTTTCCGTAAAAGGTATTTGACCTCAGAGGGATTAACAGCTTTAGGTGGTAAGGAGAGTGGGATAGGTATTGAGAGGGATTCTTCTACTTTTACTGTGTGGCTGGGATGGGATTCTGGATGAGGAGCGAAAGTATAGGAAAGGTGTTTGGCAAATTCCTCGGCTTTATCTTCATCAGATGCTGCCCAGGAGCCATCATCTCGTCGAAGAGGGTGGGAAATATGATGGGATTTGAGGATTTTTCTGGTGATATTCCAAAGGGAATTATCATGAGCAGAGAGTGTGGTGAGGTAGGAATTGAATGATTGGGATCTGAAGGTGGCTAATTCTTGTTTTAATTTTTTACAGTGATAATTGTAGGAGTGGCGGTCGGCTGGATGTCTGGTACGTTGCCATAATAATCTGGCACGGCGTTTTATGTGGATTAGGTCAAGGAGGTGTTGAGGTAAATTATGTTTCTTAAGGATTTTTGAGGAGTGATCAGGGGAGGAAGCAGTCCAGACTGCTTCTTGAATTTTGGTAGTGAAGGAATGTACTGCATTGTCCAGGTCTTCAGAGGTTTTCAGGGTTACTCTGAGGTCAATTTTATCGGAGAGGATTTGATGAAAGAGTTTCCAGTTAACTGGGCCTCTGATGAAGGACGGAGGAGAGGGTTTAGGAATAGGAGCTAGTGATACTTGGAGTATTAATGGGCTGTGGTCTGAGGAAAGCTCGTCAAGACGGGCAACGGAATGGTTGAGAGCACCTAAACCATTATGGATAAAGAAATCGAGGATATCGGGATTACGGTTAGGATCAGTGGGCCAGTAGGTAGGTGAGTTGGGTGGAAGAAGGGTAAAATTTTGGGAATTGAGTACAGACAGCAATGTTCGACCACGAGAATTCGTGGTTCTTGAACCCCATTGTTGATGCTTGGCGTTTAAGTCTGCACCCAAGATGAAATGATGTCCTAAGGAAATGAGGAAGGAACTAAATTGGATATTGGAGATGGATTGGTTTGGAGGGCAATACGCTGATGCAACGGTAATAGGAAAGGAGAAGGTTTTGATTACGACTGCGGTGGATTGTAGGAAATCGTGTGTAGGCAGTGGGAGTAGGTGATGGGAGAGGGATTGGTGCACAATGACTGCAGTACCGGCATGTGCTCTACCGTCAGGATGGTCGGTACGGTAAGTTATGTATTGTGGTATTTTTAGGAGCTGTTTTTTAGTCAGTCGAGTTTCCGTTATTAGGGCTACGTCTACGTTCTTGTCTTGTAGTAAGGCTGTTAGTTCGTGTATGTGATTTCTAACACCATTCGCATTCCAAAGGAGAATGGATATGGGTTTGATGGAAGTCATTTAAGGATTTTTTAAAGGAGGGATAAGGTGAGATACTAGGTTAGTGAGAAGTGATATCAGTGGGGTAACAAGGGATTTAAATTCTGAAAGAAAGGATGTCAATAAGCTGGTTAGATCTGTAGCATTAGGCGGTGGAGGAACATATTGGATTTGATGTTGGTGAGGTTGTTGTTGATTAGGTACATTAGGTGGGATAGGATATTGAGATTGGGGTTGAGTTTGTTCTTGCGGCAGGGCCTCACATACATTAGTCGGGTCTCTACCCCCAAGTAGCTTGGCAAAAGAAACCTTAGAGTTCACAATTTTAGCGGGTCCTCTTCTTGGTTTAGGTGTATCATCAGGGTCCCTGGGTTTCATATATCTCGCTTTAAGATTTTTATAAATTTGGCAGCCTTTGTAGTTGGCTGGATGGCCTTCCAGGCATAGGGCACAGACTGCTGGTTCTGTAATTGGTTTATTACATTCACCAGACTTGTGTGTTTTACAACATTTCACGCAGCGTGGTAAGTGGTGGCAATAAGACTTGGTGTGGCCATATGCTTGGTAATTATGGCACTGGATGAACTCTCTTTTTGGGTACGGTTTTTCGACCTTTACGCTGGTGTAGAAAATTCTATTCACATCGTATATTTTTTCGATCCCAGGCGATGGCTCTAGATCGACGAAAAATAAGGGCAATGGGATTTTATTCTTTACACCTGGTTGTTCTTTATTTTCTTTTAAAACATTGGTTATCTGACGTATTTTGAACCCTAACGCCGTTAACTCTTCTTTAATCACTTCTATTGGGGTTGAGGAGTGTAAATTTCTTATTACAACTCGTAGTGCTCTTTCCTGTTTCAACTGGTATGTGTGAAAGTCCGCATTTGTGTCTGTTAAATATTTTACGATTTTTCGGTACGCTTCAGGTGTGGCCGGTATTATTTTTGTATCATTTATTCTGTTTAGGCATGTATAGCTACCTGGGCAGATTTTATTAAGTTGAGTACACAACAACTGGAAATTTCTCAAATTTTTGACAAAGATAGGATGTGGGCGTGGTTCTCGAGGTATAGGTGCATCTTCCATTTCTTCCCTGTCATTTTCAAGCACCTGGTATGGATTAGGTGTAAAAAATGGAGATTCCATTTCTTGTGAAGACGTACTTGGCAGTGGTTGAGACACAGATACTTGAGTGTTCGCTGGAGGAGTTCCGGGGGGTGTTAATCGCTTACTACGACGTGTTTTCTGTTTAGGCGGTGAATTACGTGGGGTAGAGCCAACTGAATGGGACCTCTTAGTTGACATTACTTGGTGGTAATATCGCATATAAAAAAAAAGAAAGGGAAAAAAAATAAATAAATAAATAAAACTACGTCTGCGTGTTATTACAATGGATGAACCGCCGGCTGAGAACCAGCCAGTTACGTGGCGAGGCCACAACTGGAGTGGGGAGCCGTCAGCTGTTATGGCTATAGAGATTAAGCCTATAGACGCTAAATCACTAAATTCACTGTCTGTAATAGTACACAGTAAATAACAACACTACTCACTGTGGTGTTAGTCCATTGTTGTTGTTTTGATGTCTGCTTAACTAGTTTTTTTTTTAAAAAAAGTAAAACTGAGCACTTATTCTACTAAAAAATAGTAAAACTGTGGGACACGACGTGAAATGTGGGTATTCAAATCAAGCGCATGCGCAGAACTCGCACAACTATATACAATCAGACAAGGGAACTCCAGCAGAACCCTGCGCTACTCTCTCAACCGCATCACTCGTACTGGTACCGGCGGAGATTGATCGAGAGTACTTTAGCCACATACTCACATGTCTTGAGTGGAGAATCTGGCCATTGCCAGAACTCCAATATATACAATCTACAAAAGGTCGTGAGGCCACTGCCGTTTCAACCTTCTTAGAGGATTATACGGATGGGTGGTGCTTGATTGGGATTGTGCAAGAGGATTTGGATGATACGTAAGGTTCTGGTGAAATTTGGAGAATTTTTCTGGGATAAGGTCTAGGAAAAATGAGATTTTGAGGTCATGATGTAGGGTTTTGTTGGTTACATAGAAAGGAGCATCGACTATTGTTCGAAGGACTCGGGGACTGAAAGGATTGTATGCTTTTGACGTTGGAAAAATGATCTGTTCCCCATAGTTCTAGTCCGTAAGTCCAAATAGGTTTCAGAATTGTGTTGTAGATCAGTAACTTGTTTTCAATGGAAAGTATAGATTTTATGTTTAGTAGTCGGTATATTTGGCCGTATCGTCGGTTTAGTTCCTTTCTTTTAAGTCTAGTATGAGGGTTCCAGGTTAGTCGTCGGTCTAAGAGAAAGCCAAGGTACCGGACTGTATCTGAGAAGGGAAGCTGGATGGTGTTAAGATAAACTGGTTGACAGGATTTACGACAAAGGGTGAAAGTTATGTGTTTACATTTGGATTCGTTTATCTTAATGCGTCATTTCTTACACTAGTGTTCAATCAGAGAGAGGTTCATTTCTAGGTTTAATGACGCTGTTTTAGGATCTGGGTTGGTTGAAAGGATAGCGGTATCATCAGGGAATGTTGCCAGGAAGGTATCAGGATGGGCAGGGATATCTGCGGGGAAAAGAATTTAAAGGATTGGACCTAAAACGCTGCCCTGCGAAACTCCCGCCTCAATGAAATGCCAGTTAGAGAATTCAATACCACAGCGTACTTGAAAGGAGCGGTCAGAAAGGTAGGATCGGAGTATTAGATATAAGGACTGCTGCAGATGGAATTTAAGCTTGAAGACCAGTCCAGCGTGCCATACCCGGTCAAAAGCCTGTGCTATGTCCAGAAATGCACCCGAACAATATTGCTTCTTTTCTAGGGCTGAGGATATATGGTAGACAGCGCGGAGTCATTGTTGGACAGTGGAATATTGGGAACGAAATCCGAATTGATGGGTAGGAATTTTATGGGATTCTATTATGGGTAGGATTCTTTTCAGTAGGATCTTTTCAAAAATTTTTGTTAGGATTGGGAGTAGGCTAATTGGTCTACTTACTTACTTACTCCTCGGCGCTATAGTCCGCGTGGGACCTTGGCCTTCTCAACAATTCGTGGCCACTCGTCTCGGTCCAATGCGACAGCCCTCCACCGCCTGACACCAAGCTGTCTCATATCCGCCTCAACATCCTCCAGCCAACGGAGTGGTGGCCTTCCTCTCCTTCTTGCTCCTCCAGGTCGCCCATACAATATTTTCCTCGGTACTCGATGGTATGCGCTACCATCCTTTCCACATGCCCTAAACATCTTATTCGTCCTGTCTTAATGACACTTATGAGATCTGCGTCCCTGTAGAGTTGTCGCAACTCCCGATTGTATCTTGACCTCCAAACACCTTCTTCGCATACAGGCCCGTAAATCTTCCTAAGAATCTTACGCTCCCACAATCCAAGAGCCCTCTCATGTTTTGCTGAGATAACCCACGTCTCGCTTCTGTATGTGACTACCGGACGAATCAATGTTTTATAGATTGTCACTCTGGCATCCCTTGATAGTCTTCGACACGTGAGTAGTCGCTGTATGGCATAAAAACATCGGTTTCCCGCAGCAATCCTGGCTCCTATCTCAGCTTAGCTAATTGGTCTATAGGATGATGTATTGTCGGCAGGTTTGCCTGGTTTTAGGAAAAGGATGAAGGTGGAATGTTTCCATAGGAGAGGGAAGTGGGTAGTTCTTAAGATGCAATTATAATTATCCGTAAGGAATGTGATTGCTTTGGATGGAATTTGAGCAAAGACCGATATATCGACCTCTTTTACACTGAATAGTATTTCTATTGCTAATAAATGTGCCAATAATTCATCAAAGGATCAACATAAACATAAATTTGAGCAACAACTGATATATTGGCTTTACAATCTTATTTTATCAAGGTTCAAAAAAATTCACTTTAACTATTATTGTTGTTGCTAATAACTGCTACAATCAATTTTAATGCATAAACATAAATTTGAGCAAAGACCGATATATCGACTTCATCACCGTATTTTATTGAGATTGGAAAATTTTTATTTAAATGTTTTCTTCTGATTGTTCTCTTATCCTGATTTTGGAAGATTCCGATTTTTAAAAGACCGATATAATGGCCTCACGACCTTATTTTATTACCATAAGTAGAGTTCGGATATTGTTTATTTTCCTTTCTTATTTTTGTTCTTAATTTCACTGGAACAGATAGAATTTATGTTTTTTTCCATCTCTTGACGATTAATTGACTCATTAATTAGCAATAAAAATAATATTCCAAGTTTGAATAAAGTTAAAATACGGTCGGAGGGCTGATATATCGATATTGGCTCAAATTTTTATTTATGTCAATCATTTGACAATTGATTGAAAAATTTATTTGCAATAAAAATAATATTCAAAATTAAATTTTATGAATTTAGATAATATTAATTCGCAAGGCCGATATAATAGTCCAATGGGAATACAAAAAAAGGTTGTTCCTGTTCTAAGAAAAGGAACATACTAAAATAAAAAGATGGTTAAACTCTACCAATCTTCACAAAATAAAATTCCGATGCCGATATATCCGTCTTTGGAATACAGGTATCTGCTCAAATTAAGAGGAAAAAAAGGACTAAAATAAAATAAAATGGCCAGAGTCTCAATAAAATAAGATCGTAAGGCGATTGTATCGGCATTTGCTCAAATTTATGTTTATGTCGATCTCTTGACGATTGATTGACACATTGGTTAGCAATAAAAATAATATTCCAAGTGTGAATCTCAATAAAATATGGTCGTGAGGACGATATATCGATATTGGCTCAAATTAAGGTAAGAGAAGGACCAGAAAAAAGATGTTAAAACTTTACCAATTTCAACAAAAACAGATCATCAAGCCGATATATTATTCTTTAAAATATCGGTAAGTACTCAAAGTTATGTTCACGCCAATCCCTTGACGATTGTGCAAAACATTAATTAGCTATAATGATAATATTACTAGTTTGAATCTTGATAAAACAAGGACGTGAGGCTGATATATTGGTATTTGAAATATTGTTATGAGGTCAAATGAAGGGAATGGAAGGACGAAAAAAATTATGAAATAAAAAGCAATGATGAAACTCTCACAATCTAGATAAAATGAAGTCATCAGGTAGATATATCGGTCTTTAGAATGTTGAATGCTGCTTTAATTTATGTTTATTACGATCCCTTGACACATTTATTTTTTTCTATTAGGAAATTTCTTTCCATTTTTTTCTATGAGGAAATTTCTTTCATCGCGCAGGCTCATTACCGCGTATGTGGAGCGTACCACGGGTGGCGGATGTGGAAATGGTCGGGGGAAATTCCTTGGAAGTTCCTCCCGGCTAAGTCCGGTGGACTCGCTGACCAACAATCAGAGGAGCCCTCCAGACTTGCTGGAGGGAGGGAACCTCCAGACTTGCTGGAGGGAAGAGACCTCCAGCCTTGCATGAAGCAGGAGTCCACCAGACTTGCTGGAGGGTGTGACGTAGGATTGAACGCCCTACTCACATATCTTTAGTTCACCATACACCACAAATAGTCATGGATCTCCCTAAGGTAAAACGCTCATTATCCGGAAGTAAGCTAGTCCCCGATCGGGTCCCCGGGTGGGGACTGCTTTGGAGGATTCATGGCGCAAGTTGAAAAATAGAGATTTAAATATTGGTACGTGGAACGTAAGGAGTTTAAACACAGCAGGGGGGTAAAAATCGGTCGTGAATGAAGTTAATGGGTACAATTTGGATGTCGTGGCTCGGCTCGATGAGGGAAGGAAAGTGCACTATTTGGTACGGAGGAAGCGGGAATCATTGTTTAGGTACCGGGTTTCTAATTAG